AACAAGTTAAGAAACATTATCCTTCCCTCTAATTTCTCCCCCCTGCTTTCAACTTTTGCTGTCATTATATGATCACTAGTCTGTCATTTTGTAATAAATGTTATCTTTTTAGTTCATATTTTGGTTTGTATATTATTTATGTTTTATGTTATTTATAGAGTACTACCATTAATTAATTATTCTCTTCTTTTTAATTTCCATTTTGTAGGTTGTCTGGGAGAAATTATTGTATGCTATTGTAAATTATGTATGTTTGTTTCTTTTTATGTTATTTGTTTGATGGTATTTGTCTTAGTGGATCGTTACTCACACTTGCGTGTGGCTCCAACGATGACGTGTACAGCTGCCCATAGAACCTCTCAATCTCACTCAAAATCTCAGGTGCCCCGGAAACGATGCTGCCACATTCGGTCTTCAGCTTTGACAGTTGGCTCTTTCTGGCAGACAGATTCTCTGGCAAAGACTTTGGAGCCTTGGTTCCGCTCGATCGCTTCTTCAATACGAGCTGTATTGAAGTTGCGTAAGTCCCGCCGCATGCATTTGGAAATCTGTCTATTCAGATGCCTGTATGCTGTCAAATCTGTTGAAGAATGTAGCTTCATCTCCCGTCTAACAGCCATGAGATTAAGAGTGTGATCGGAGAGTTTTTGTGTTCTTCTGCGGCGGGTCTTGCAGAACTTAGCTCCGACCGCATGGACAGTTTCCACGAGCTTGTCATTCAAGTCGTCCACTTCATTGCAGTCTTCTAGGCACTGAAAACGGTTTTGCAACTCGAGCTGAAAGGTTTCGGGACTTTGGATTAGAGCACGAGGGGGACGGAGCGTTAACTTCATTAGACGAGACCTCTCCAACTTAACGTTTAGGTTCAGTGTGCCTCTAACCATTCGGTGATCGCTGCCGGTTTTTACCCTCGCGATCACTGAGACATCACTGAACAGTTGTCGTCTGGTCGTCATAATGAAGTCAATCTCATTTTTTGTCGAACCGTCGGGGCTCGACCAGGTCCACTTCCTGTGGGGCCGCTTCTGGAAGAAAGAGTTCATCATAAAGAGTCCCTCTTTCTCCATGAAGTCGGCCAACTGCTGGCCCCTTGGGTTCCGTTGCCCTATTCCAATTTTCACCACTTTCAGCTCACCGTTCTCTCTTGTGCCTAGTTTTGCATTGAAGTCTCCCATTAACACCGTATATTGGGTTTTGGAGGAATGCATGGCTCTAGAGATATCCTCATACATTTCCTCCACCTCCTGATCGGGGTGTGCCGAGGTTGGTGCGTAAACCTGTATGACCTTCAGCGAATACCGTTTGGTGATTCTGAGTATAAGGTACGCAACCCTCGTCGACACACTCTCAATCTTTACAACGTTGTTAACGAGAGACTTGTGGATGATAAATCCGACACCTCCTTGGGACAGATGGTCGCCCTCCCGGTAATAGAGCAAGTTGCCGGATTCGAGGATTACCGTGTCCTCCCCCTCTCTTCGGACTTCGGATAATCCTATAATATGCCAGCGTAACTTGTCTATCTCTTCTTCCAGCTCCACAATCTTCTCGTCAGTCCTCAGGGTGCGTGCGTTGTATGTTGCCAGGTCGAGTTTCGTTGTAGGTGGCAACCGAACCTCCACCGGAGATTCTTAGCACCCCCTGCCCCGCCGTTACCATGGTCGCCACCGTAGCCAGGAATAGCGGGGCCGCCGGGGACTGGGGGCCGTCTCTTCGTAACTTTCATTATGGGGGGTATATTGCCATAGTTGCCACGCTTGGCGAGCGGGTTGGCAACCGCAGTTTTTTATTGTACTTTTGCCGTTACCAGGAAGATGCTGCTGCCCATCTCCTGCCTGTTTCCCTTTGTCGCCTTTTACGACACCCACGGGAAGATATGGGGTAGTGGATATTCTTAACCGCCACTACACGGCAGTAACGATCCAAGAGCGAGTCTTATCCGACATTATTCCGATGATATCCCGGACGTCAGTCTGAGCGAGATTAGAATGGCTCTCCAGCACCTTAAAAACGGCAAGGCCCCAGGACAGGATGGAATTACAGCGGAGCTTCTGAAAGCGGGTGGAAAACCGGTACTTGAAGTCCTTCAGAAGCTCTTTAATTCCGTCCTCCATGGTGGCATTACACCGGAGGCGTGGAGCAGAAGTGCGGTGGTCTTGTTCTTCAAGAAAGGCGACAACGCTCTCTTGAAGAACTACAGACCGATTTCCCTTCTGAGCCGCGTCTACGTGCTGTTTTCGAGAGTCATTACGAATCGTCTCGCGCGCAGACTTGACGACTTCCAGCCTCCCGAACAAGCCGGTTTCCGAAAAGGCTTTAGCACCATAGACCACATACATACCCTTCGGCAAATTGTACAGAAGTCCGAGGAGTACAATTTGCCACTATGTCTGGCGTATGTGGACTATGAGAAAGCCTTTGATTCCGTCGAAATTTGGGCGGTGCTGCAGTCCCTTCAGCGATGCCAAGTTGACTGTCGGTATATCGAAGTGTTGAAGTGCTTGTATAGTAGGGCTACGATGGCTATCCGAGTACAGAACCATAGTACGAAACCTATCCAATTGCAGAGAGGTGTAAGACAGGGTGACGTCATATCCCCGAAACTCTTTACCGCTGCATTGGAAGATGTTTTCAAGCTTCTGGACTGGAAAGGATACGGTATCAACATCAATGGCGAGTACATCACTCACCTTCGATTTGCCGACGATATAGTCCTTATGGCAGAATCGCTGGAGGACCAAAGCACTATGCTCAATGACCTCAATAGTGTTTCCCAACGGATAGGTCTTAAGATGAACATGGACAAAACAAAGATCATGTTTAATGTCCATGTTACACCTATGCCGGTAGTTGTTGGGAGCACTAAGCTCGAAGTTGTTGACGAGTATGTTTACCTGGGACAAATAGTCCGACTAGGTAAGTCCAACTTCGACCGAGAGGTCAATCGACGGATTCAACTCGGCTGGGCAGCGTTCGGGAAGCTACGACACATCTTCTCGTCAGACATACCTCAAAACCTTAAAACGAAATTGTACACCCAGTGCGTGTTGCCAGTGATGATATACGGAACTGAGACGTGGTCCTTCACTGCTGGCCGGATGAGGAAGCTCAAGGTCGCTCAGCGAGCTATGGAGAGGGCTATGCTCGGAGTTTCTCTGCGTGATAAACTCAGAAATGAGGATATCCGCAGTAGAACCAGAGTGACCGACATAGCCCAACGGATTAGTAAGCTGAAGTGGCAATGGGCCGGCCATATAGCTCGAAGAGCCGACAACCGATGGGGAAGAAAGGTTCTCGAGTGGCAGCCTCGTACCGGTAGGCGAAGTGTAGGGCGTCCCCCCACTAGATGGAGTGACGACCTGGTAAGATATGCAGGAAGTCGATGGATGCAGGTGGCTCAGGACCGTGCTTTGTGGCATTCTTTGGGGGAGGCCTATGTTCAGCAGTGGACTAAAGGGCTGTAATGATGATGATGATGATGATTTGTCTTAGTGTACATTAAGGTATTGTTATGTATTCCCTTGTTCTCAAGACTTTTTACAATACAGATTTTAGGTATAATATAGCCTGTTATTTTACATTTTCTTTTACTTATAACGTATTTATCATAACACGTGAAAAATCCAATTCGTATTTATCACTCACTATAAGAAGTACTACAATATTTATTCAAGGCCAAAATAAAGTATTATTTATATTCTGATTAGTTCTTTGAATATATACCACAAGTGGCCTAAGTAGGTTTAGTGAAAACAAGGATTTAAATGAAGTTTATTCATTTTAAATTACTCAAAAAGTGTAAACTTATTGTACTGTAAAATTTTTATGGAATATTTACGCGATACACTTTTCAATAGTAGCTTTAGTAGTTTTTATACATTTCTAGGTATAATAACAACTAATTTTTTTATAACTAAAATACATCTTTACAATAGAGAAAGAATTTTATCTAAAAATAATTAATAAAGATATTTCTGCTATTGTAACGCAAGATCTGGGCAGGAGGTAATGTTCGTACTTTTAGTTAAAGATTAGATGTTACGGCGGTGACGATCTGGCGGTGGGCGGCGGGCGCCCAGCCCGTTCTATTTCTATATTGAGACAGTTACTCGCTGCTGCCTACCGCGCATCATCTCCTCGCATATATAAATAGACAAATTTCAATACCAGTAAAATAAATATAAAAACAACAAAATTGTTTAGTGCAACGACAACTTGTTTTTTTTTTACATAAAACAAAAGTATTTATTTTCAAAACTATTATTACGTAATGTGAAAAAAAAATTGCCACATAATACAGACAACTTTTACAATATCAAAACAAAATGATGTGGTATCAAGGAGAAGAAGATGAAGACGACGATCTTATGTGCTCGCCGGCTATACTTGCGAGACGGGCTTCAGAAAGCTGGATTAATGTACCTCCTGTTGAGGTAAAATATTTACATTACCTACATGTGTCGTGTGATGTGTAACCGGCGTAGCGTGGACATTGTTTTTGATTACACGACCAAGCTTACTTGGATTTAAATTGTATTATTATACTAAATTAAAAAAAAATGTTCAATAGGACGTAGGTATGGGCTGTATCTTTAACTTTAACTTTTAAATTTTTGAAACGAATATTCTTTTCTGGGACATTACGGTAGACTCTTTCCTATTCCATACCCTTCCCAGAAATAAGGTATTCAGAGACAGTTAACTCCACAATATCGAAATTTGAGTACAATGCTATTTGCCTACTAGTATACTTCTCAAAACCACAAATTTTGATTGTGGAGTTTGAGTTTAAACACAAAATTGTCACAGAATAGCAGTTTTTAAGTACATAAACTGTTACTTTATTTTAATTTAAAAACCGTATAATATTAAGAATAATAATTTTTGTGCTAGTTCATAAATATTTTTAATGAAATATAAACTTATATTTGCACTATAGGTTACCATAATATTTAAGGTTTTAATTCAACGTAATATTTATACTAGATTCTATTTAACAGATGTTAAGCACGCCTCAAACACTTCAGCGTAAGAAGTCTCTGCCGGACGTGGCAGCGATGCCGCGAATGGCTGATGGTGGAGGCATGACTCGCGAAGAGGTATCAGCACTAGGTTCCGCCCGCCGTGAGGAGGTCCGTCGCATACACGAGGAGACCGAAAAACTGAGAGCCAACCCCTTCCTCTATTTAGTCAGTCCGCAAGTAAAGGTAATGCTAACTTGCACCTTTCTCTGACATTCATACGCTCATCCTTTTGTGCAGTGTACGTAAACAAAATTTCTTTTACACACCGACTCTTGAGTGAGTATGTATGTTTCATATTAAATATATAAATGATTATTACATAAAATCTAATAATTCATGTACCAATTTTTTGTGAATTTTAATTAAAATATGCAGTAATTTTACCGTATGAAATGTCTGATGAAAGACTTCATCACAGATCAAAGGTATACAATGTTCTTGTTCTTGAAGTAAAAATCTTTAAGGTAATAACTAAGGCGCCTGTCAAGTGGTTTAGATGTGTCAATTGAAATTTAACTCCAAGGAAATGTTAAATATTTATCATATTTATTTAATCTTTACCTCTACCATTTTAATATGATTTTCTATAATATTTTCTAGCTATTTTCTTTCATTTATCTACGTTTATGCCAGGGTTCCTACATTAAATTATAATAGTTAACCCTTGCCGGATTGTGGGTTACAGTAAACTTTAACATTATTATTTGATTTCAGGACTGGTTCTCACGGCAGCAACTTGTGATTCTAGTACTCTTCATCAACATTTCTTTGGGCATTATGTTCTTCAAGCTACTAACGTAGCGTTGGCGTGTGGCGCTTCTGCGCCTTTTCTTGACAAAGCCCTTTTGTACATATTTCTATTATAAATGAAATACTAAACATTGAAACAATCAACGCAAATCTGTTTTATGTGAAACCTTTAATACAGTTAGTACATACCATTTTCTAATTCAAATATGAAATATAAACAATCGAATAAAAAACATTTTAATTTGTTATTATGGTTTACATCTTGCCAATAAGAATATCTTATTAATGTTAATGTTGTATAAGTGTGCATCACTAGATAAAAGTGCAAAAATGCCCCACCCTATACGTATCTAGACGTTTAATCTTCTTTCTGGTGTGAAAGTGAAAACCTGTGTCCATTAGTCGAAAAAATTCGAGTGAACGGAGCACGAAATGTTATATACCTGCATATTGTAGGTATTTTTGGTTAAAAAATTTGAACGACTTACGCCTCTCTTGTTAAAAATTTTCAAATTTCATAGTATTATAAGTACAGTATATAATATTATTTACAATATGAATTTCAGTTGTTACCATAATTAATTAAAATATAAAGTTAACTAATATAATTACATATTTCTAATATAATTTTATGTTTAAAATATCCAAAACGAAAATAAAATTTTTACATTAAATGAAATTTAAAGAAATATTTGTTTTTAATATTACACAATTATGATAAAATGCTTTTATTAAAATTGTTATAGTTCGTGATAATTCTATAAAATAATCGAAACGACCAATACATGTACATTTTATTTAATATGTACATGTAATCGTAGATTAACGACTTATTGAGTCCAAAAACGTAACTAACTTGTACATAATATGTTGCTAAATGTAAAACGGTGACATTGAAAATGGAATAAATAGAACAATTTTTAATTTTTTATATTACGTAGATTTTGGAACGTGCAAATAAGAGTATTTTCCTACGCTGTACAATAAAAATTCAAAATTTTTAGATTCATAATTACCTTAGATTTTAAATAAGAATTAAACTAAATTGGTGCACATTTTTTTTACAAAATCGTAGGCTTTTAATAAACTGAGGTCAATTTTCACGTAACCAGAAATTTATACATAAGTATATATGTATAAAAATAAATTGTAAATGTGATTATACCTTAATGTTTAATAATATTGATGTGGGATGTGTGCGAATGAGACTGTTCATAGTTTGTACAACGAAAGTTGTGGACATACGCGCAATTGTTAAAATATTGAAGGAATATTCGTAAGACAATTTTCACAGTTTCATTATTATGTAAAACATAAGTTATGTCTATAAGAGTTTTAATTACTTGTATCAATTTTATCTACGTTTCACAAATAAAATATTTTAACTTAAGTATTTCATTTTTCTTATACTTATTCCAGTATAGCCACACATATTGTTTTATTCCTTGATTACAGGCTAACAAAAGTCCATTGCTGAACATAGGGCTCTCCGAGGCAAACAGGTTGGCAACCGTAGTTTTAATTACTTTTGATTTGTTATCAGGCACATTGTGGTGGATAAGGGCTATTCTTTAAAAATAATAGTACATGCTAATCAACGCATTCTTGTAGTCTTACAATGAAATAAAATATATTTGCGTTAGTTTCATTTGATTTTTTATCGTCTGCATACAAAATGTTAAGCGTTATTGAAACATTCGTATATATCAGTAATATCAACATTAAAGAAAAGAGGGCTTAGATCTTATCCCTATCAAACATTAATGGAATAAATATGATCGAAACCCTCCGGTCCTTATAACTTGCGAGCAGTAGAGAGTAGCAGAGCAACCCTGTGGCAATGAGTTCATCTTTTAAGTTAAACTTCCTGTAGTTAAGTGGTTATAAAGACCGTATCCTTCCAAAGATAAAAACCAGAACCCTTTTACAAACAGAGTTCACATCAATCGAGAAATATCAAAGCCTGCGGTCAGACTATTAACTATTAAATAATTTCTACATATTAACCTATAATGTTAAAGCTATTAGCATCGTATAAGCGTTTCAAGAACTAAATGAAGCGCTTAAAGGCATAAAATACGATATTATTGGATTAGCCGAAACTAGTCGCCCTAGAAACAAAATACACACCAAGGAAATATAGTAGTAATGAAATTAAATGGTTATGAAGAAATAAATCTAAAGTACCAGAAATTAATAATTTTCGCTGTTGAAAATAAAGTAGTAATTATTATAATTGTTTTTTGAACCTAAAATGGCTTTTTTATAGGATAGGGTGACAAACGAGCACACATTCCACCTGATTATGGTAAGTGGTTACTGTGACCCATAAACATCTACATCTATCCTTAATAAAGACTCAAAATGCAGATGCGTTGTCACCCGTTAGGACTAAGATAGAATGCCTCTTTTTCAGTAAAAAGGGTCTCCGGTTCTCTACACTCACCATACGAAACACAACAGTGATAATCTGCTATTTTACGCTGGTATTCTGTGAGAGCGGTCTTCCCCGGTCGAGCCGACTCATTCGTGCTACAACTATACTACTAATATAGCTGCAGCATGGCTCTACCACGTATAAAGTGGTGATTTTATATTCCGTGACTGGAAACATTTTAGGTTAGAATATAAAATCACCTAACGGAAAACATAACAATGAAATCGATTATATACTATCAATCGAATATCTTTCAAAACCCAAAAGTACAGAAATATTATCTAATCATTAACATCAAAGTCTGGTAAGATCGACGATTAACACTTTCTTTAAATGCCATATTTTTCTTCGATATTTTTTAGGTATGTATATGTTTTCCTCCAAATTATACTTAACTTTTTCAGGTATATTAAATTTGTTTCCACTTTACACGAGGCGAAAAAGAGCCCTATTCTTTTTATTCACAAGACTTATACCCCTTTTCACTAGAGGCACAGTTTAGTCCTAGATATTATTCAATAACTGTCAACGTAGGCTCTTTTGGTCGCGAGGCCGTGGGAAGTCGCCCACGTCGCCCACGCTTTACGCCGCTTTTGACAGCCCGCATGCATACACGCACGCACGCACGCACGCAAGCACGCACGCACATACACCTTTGGTGAGCCTGATTCCTCTCTCTTTCTTTTGTCTCTGAATTTGTCTGTTCGTTTCTTTACAATTATTTTATCCTATTTTAGAAAGGTTACCTTTCCCTTCTTCTTTTCTTCTATCAATTGGGTCGCTAGCTTTTTCCGCTTTTCAAGTACTTCTCTAGGGAAATCTTCTTTCACGTATATTCCTGGCGGAATCTGTTCTTGTTTTTCAATATGTTGTGTTTTTTTCCATAAGAATGAGATTTTTTGAAGATTTTCGTAGTTGTTATTCTTGCCAATTTTATATATGTTACAGATTTTGTTGCTATCATAGTGTGTTCCTGTTTCTATTATTGTTTTTTTATGTGGTCTACCAACTCTGCTTCTGATTTTCCCGTTTCTCCTTTTCCAAAAAACACTAGGTTATATTTCCGTTTCTCTTTATCCAATATTTTGATTTTCTGCTCAGGTGTAGATATTTTGACTTTAAGTTGAGTATTTTCTTCCGTTATTGTTTTTAGTCTTCCGTCTAATGCTTCCATACCGCATTTTGTCACTAACATTAGTTTGTTCGTTTAATTTCTCGTCTATTTTTACAACATCAACTCCATTTCAATTTCCATTCTTTTGTGGTAATTATTTTGATGTGGAAACACTAGTTTGTTTATGATAGTACTGTAGCTGTCACTGTCAAAGGGGCGTTAACTGTCTCCTGGCACTTGACTTTTTGACAAGCGCCCTCTATTATTCAGTAATGGCACCAAAGGAGTTAGTGATTATGATGTGATATCGATTGGTATTAACGTTAAAAAATACTATACAGGATGCCGATTTAATCATCTACAATATTTAAGGAGGTGAAACAATAAACGATACTGTACCCACACCAATAAAGAAATCGGGTGGGCATGTGTCGGGGCACACGGCCGTTGATTTTAACAAGTTCCTCCTTTTCAAATATTTTAATACAATTCTACAACACCAAGAGAATTTCAGATGCGTTGCCGGCCTTTTAAAAAGAAGCAAGCTCAATTCTTGGAGGTCTCTAAGTCGTATCGGTCCGTAAAAGTCACCGATGGTAAACGATTTCAAAAGTATTCGTGCGAGGAAGAAAACTTCTAATGTCCACTAATTGTCCACCAAGCATCAAGCAAATGGCATCCAAGTTGGACCACCAAGCATCCAAATGATGTGGATGGTAAATTTTTATCGAGATGTGTGTTGGTGAAATTTGGTGTCTGGAATTAATCAGAACAATTCTTCAGAGCACTCCCCGTGGCAAATACGATAGAAAATGCAGAGAGAACTGCAGATGCGTTGCCGACCTTTTCAAAAGGAGCAAGCTCGATTTTTTTATAGGATCGGGTGACAAAGGAGCATACAGTCCACCTGATGGTAAGTGGTTACTGTGACCCATAGACATCTACATCTATCCTCAATAAAGACTCAAGATGCAGATGCGTTGTCACCCGTGAGGACTAAGATGGAATGCCTCTTTGCCAGTAAAAAGGGTCTCCGGTTCTCTACACTCACCATACGAAACACAGCAGCGTTAAGCTGCTATTTTACGCTGGTTTTCTGTGAGAGCGTGGTCCTTCCCCGGTCGAGCCGACCCATTCGTGCTACAACCATAATATAGCTGCAGGATAGCTCTACCACGTAGAAAAATCTTGGAGGTCCCTAAGTCGTATCGGTCCGTAAAGGTCGCCGATGGTAAACGATTCCAAAAGTATTCGTGCGAGAAAGAAAACTCCTAATGAATCGCACGGTAGTGGACCACCAAGCATCCAAATGATGTGGATGGTAAATTTTTATCGACATGTGTGTTGGTCAAATTTGGTGTCTGGAATTAATCCGAACAATTCTTCAGAGCACTTCCCGTGGCAAATACGATAGAAAATGCAAAGAGATGCAACATCTCTACGCAGCGCCAGTGAATCGAGCCAATCAAGGAGAACTCGATCGTCGACGATTCAAGCCGC